GCTAGCTTGCAACTCGTTCTGAATTGAAACGACTCTCAAAAACACAAGACTCACCTTTTCTTCCAATTGCCTCGATCCATTCTTCCCGTATGTCTGTGGCAGGAAACTCGTGAAAACTTACTTTACTTTGTTTGCCTTGTTCCGATTTGCAATATGGCACGCAGCAATACACCATACTTACATTTGAGGTGTCAGCTCATCTAAAAAAAAAAAACTGCACGCGGCCACTATTAGAGCTGACTACTGCAGCTATCTGCCGTCTGCAAGTTTCTGCACACGACCTACTGTGTTTCTGCGTATCTTCTGCAATTTGTGTATGCGTATCGTCTGGAACCATCGTGATTCAGTGTGAACAATGAATGCCTAACAATAGTTTTTTTATCTCGTTGGACTACGTTTTCATTCAAGAAATATTTTCATAATAAATTTTCCTTCATTTGTAGAAAAGTTCCCGTCTGCTTGCCACTGTGACCCTTTGTGTGCTTTTTTTACGGTTCTATTTCTGCTTCAAACGTCCACACGAATGCAGCCAACTCTGACGAGGAATCATATCGCTTTATTTGCCATATTTTACACATTCATACACAATTCATGCACAATAAGAACGATTTGCACTGCCACAGCGATGGCTGAAGCAGACGACAGCGAACAGGTGCTGCCTAGCGCCACGCCGCTCGTAGGTGACGGCCCTAGCGGCAGAAGGTATGAACTAGAACGTGGGCGCTGGAAGAGGTGCTCTCTGGGCAGGTCAGGAGTGTAGTAGGTCATGATCGGAAACGTCCAGCTGATCGGCTCTTTCGGTTCTCTCTTTTTACTTTCTCTCTGTGTTCTCGCGCTCTCTCGTTCCGCGGGATTTCAAGAGAAGAGAGCTTCAATGAGTCTTTTGAGCTTAATGAAGGCATATTCGATGCGGTTTTGTCAGTGCCGATTCGTGCCCAAGTCGATGCCATCGACAAGATATTTTCGTCCCCAGTTTAACTGCCGCATCAGGCGCATGTCGAAGCCTCTAGGGGGCGGAGAGTTTGATGCTCTTGTGTCGTCTGCAACGTCTTGCGTCAGCGCGTCGTCTGCTAGCGATAGGTTTTTCTCAAAGGTTGAATGTCCGTGTTACGACTTGGCGGTGCTGAATCGTAATTAAATTTGAATATGTCGTTTCGACTAATAGTTCGCGTTTCTCAATATTGGCTGTGCGGTCGCGTTTGAGGTCGTTTCGCAGGAAAAACCAGATTTTGCACTTTCGTCTCTAAACGCAGTGCACAAGTTTTGCGAAGTCTTTTTTTGTTTTCACTTTGATAAAAGCCCACTGTTCGCTTTAGGAGTATGGAGGGGAGAGAAAGTAACGCCGCTATCGACGAGTTTTTATTTCTTTATGATGAACAGAGCCTTGAGTGACAATCGATTGAAACGGCGTACGTGATCCAGTGACCGAGAACAGCTGGAACAAATCGCGACTGCTTTCGAAGTCCTGTTCCACAGAAACATATTCGTCCATGGCGGCAAGAAGAAAATAAAAAACAAACAACAACAAAACAATAACTTTGTTTACGCGCCGTGTCACGCAACCCGCCATTAGCGTCAGAGGCAGCCTCAGGCAACGCCTCCTGCCTCGAGTTCGAACCGATATCTTCGCAATCTACATATATCGATCTTTTTAGAATGCGGCGTGCATTCGGTCGCATCGTTTTCCAAATCCGGCTTATGGTCATCTCGGAGGCCATATAATATTTCACATGACTACGAATCAGGTTCCGTGCATTGCAAAATACGAGCGACGTCACGTGCTGACGTCATCACGCGTCAGAGTAAAGTCATTGGCTCGGCGATTTTGAATGCTTGACTGTGACTGCATCAGTAGTATTATCTTTAATATTAATATATTATTATTATTATTATTATTATTATTATTATTATTATTATTATTTTCAGTAATTAAGTCGGGCTGCAAAACTGGTGCTTCTAATTATCGTCCGATTTCTCTACTGTATGCCACATTTAAGATCTTTGAGCTGGCTCTTCACAACATATCGTATGTTAGCATGAATGATTCGTTGATAACTAATCAACACGGGTTTCACCCTGGGCTGGTGGACGTTATTTCCTCGATTTTAAGTCGGGACAGGTTTACGTTATTTTCCTCGACATTAAGAATGCTTTTTGATCTTGTGTGTCATTCAAAACTAATTTTAAAATTTCAGGCTCTAGCCTTGCCATATTTCATAGTTTCTTGGGTCACAGCATGTTTAAGTGACGGAGTACAATTTGTCAGTATCGTTGGCCATTGCTCGCGGCAGTTACCAGAGACATTGGGTGTACCCAAGGAAGTGTCCTTAATCCCTTTTTGTTTTCTATATACATAAATGATATCGTAAATGAAATTAGTGAACCAATTTTTATTTGGCTTTTCGCTAATGATTGTGTGCTATTTAATAAAGTGAAGCGTTCTGAGGATCATGTACTCCTGAATTTTAACTTGCGAAAAATTTGTAAATGGTGTGAGCGATGGGACATGGTTTTCAATGCCCAGAAAAGAGTTTTCATGGAAATAACAAAACAAAGCCACTACTTTTACTTATCCACACTCGCTTGAATCCATTCCACTAGTTGAAATTACAAACTACAAATATCTAGGGATAACTATAACAAATACGTTGGAATGAAATTCACATATATGGAACATTTGTGCATCCTACTTCCGAAAACTCTGAATTCTCAGACATAAGTTAGAATATGCTCCAGCTGAGGCAAAACGCTTAGCATATTTATCGCTTATTAAACCGAAGCTTGAGTATGCAGCTATTGTGTGGTATCCGCACCCGAAAAAAAAAAAAAAAACACAGATGCACTCTTAAGGATGCACTCAGTGGAAAGATATATGTTTCATCTATTCAAAGTATCGGCATACTGACTCCCCTATCACCTTGACGAGTCAACACGGTATTCAGGCATTGCAACTTCGACAGAAGGTACACGGTATAAAGTTCATCTTTCAGCTGAAACACAGAAAACTAGCATAAAAACCAGAAGATTACATATGACCCCTTTCAACTCGAAAAACTAGACACCGTCATGCTGCTATATACCCAACTGCTATATAACCCCATTGAGCACGAAAACTAATGCTTTCAAATTTTCATTTTTTTACACGCACGATATATGAAAGGAACGTGCTAGAGCGAATGGCTAAATAGAACGTAGTAGCATCTTATTCTTGATTTCGTGATTTGTTTGTATACCTTGTTATGTATAGCCAATCCTTTTTTTGTGTGTGATATGCTGAGAACTGTGGTATGATTTGTCTGTACTTACTTTATTGGTTATAGGCATAGAGCACACTGTTGTAGTTGTTTCTACATATCAGTCGTTTTACTGGGTTTTTCTTTCTTTTTTTTTTCTTGCTATTACAGTGGTTACAGTGCATGTAAATTTTACTTATTTGATTGTTTCAATGCATGATGTTCATTATTATTATTATCTACGTATGTATCCACTCCTGCTTGAGCCCTGAATGGGCCTGCAGTATTTTATAAATAAATATAAAGTTAATAAATACTACATCCAATAAAGTGAACCAGTTACTGTCACATGAAACACTTTGAGGTCAGTCATGTTGACTATCTAGAGATGCCACCTGTCCAGTTTTAGACCAGCCCCGCTTTTTTTTTAGATATCAGGCCTGTTGCTAGTCTGCACTGATAGGCCTCCCCCTCAGCCCCTTTTTTTGTCATAATATTGCAATTGTGTTTTCCAGGTCATTTTGTAGGCATCAGTTTGACAACTACGACAGTAAATTTTTGTCAGTCACCAAACCTTTTACTCTATTATTCAACCAAATTTTAAGATCCCTTCAAGTGTAGCAATGATTGAAATGGAGCATATTATTGCATGTGCGCGTGCATGAATTCCGACATTATTGTGCATGAATATCCGACATTATTCCGACAAATGTGCTGTATACACGTTAACATTTGTTTTTGTCTGTAATGCCACTGTCATGTTGGATTCAAATGCAAAGAATAGCATGTTTTGGGCGAACTACCGCAGTTTCTTTTCAGTGCCGCACATTCATAGCTATAAACCAAGTGCCATTCCTATCATCAGTATTTTTATGCCAGCAATCAGGCTAGTTGGTTGGCTCTGTTTGCTGTTCGTGTTTATACATCAGGTTCGTTTGGATCAAAGAAAGGGTTGTTAAAATAAATGTCACTGCATGCAAAAGACTTGGCATATAGCACCTCTTTTTCAACATTAGTTTAATCTGCTGTTAGCTCACTTCCCCACACCTCCTTTCTTGATAAAGTGCTAAGTTTTTTTTGTTTTTTTTTAGAAGGTGGCACCCATATGACTACACAGAAGGTTCAATTCATCCTATGCACAGCGCATTTCGGCCTGTTTTGCCCACTACTCCAAAGATCAAGAAGTGGCAAAAACAAATTGCATTCACATGTGTGGACATTAAGCCTCGAGGGGATCCATACAAAAAGCTGGCTTAACGTTCGAGAAGGCGTATTCACAAAAGCGTGTTGTCTTAATTCTGCACTGCATGCTATTACGTCAGCTACATTGTTCGGTATGTTGAAGCATGCATGCATGTCCCCATATTTATTCTGTCATCAAGTTTTAAACAATACTGTGTGTAACATCCTAATAGGAATTCTCCTTTGAACAAGAAAACGATAAGGGTAGCAGAACTCCTTTAGGGGTGAAGCTCCTTACGCCGTGTGGTGTATGTCCTGCGTGGTCTTAGTCGTCGTATTAGCCAGTTACACTGCATTGCATGTCAATAAAAACGGTGTCACAGCCCATCCACGGAGTGAATGATGATGAGTGGGGCGAAGCGTTTGTCAGCTCCTCCGTGCTTCGGTCCGTCCGTGCGTCCGTCCATTTGTGCAACCATCCATCTGGGCGTCCACTTCACCCCACTCGTCATCGTTCACCTCGTGGATATGCTGTGATTCTTTTTTTCATTTAACCATTCGTCACGTCCTCCTACTCTCTTTCAGGTGAATTATGGACTTGTCGAACAGCTATAAACCATTGCAACAAGACATAGGCATTGAAATCAAGCAGGAACCAGTATCACCACCAGGCTCAGACATAGAAGAGGAGGAATGTACGTATGGACACTTCTACCAATAGTGAAACGTGCACAATGAAGGGGAATAAAGTACGGCCAAGTACACTGACACAAACTAACACAGGGCATAACACTGCTATTCTGAGTAAATAAAAAAACTTCTTACCACCTTTAAAAATATGCATTTCCAAGCTTTATTACAAATTAAAGAGAAATCTAATGCCACAAGTTGCATTGTCATAAGTCCGTCATAATTAGCATAGAAAATTGAGGTTGGAGTTTCATAAATTTCACGCCATAATCTCCGTGCGTTACGTAACAAATTGCAAAATGCATTTTTCATATTTTCACAACATTGGCTCAATGAAATTTTCTGTAACTTTATATGCTAGGTCTACGGCACCTACAGGTGACAATGTATGTTATCTTTATCGTGTAGAAGCTATGCAGGACTTACTAGGCACCTTGAAAATTTACGATGTCGCAGTAGGTGCGGAAATCTCATGGTGGTGTCTCCGCCCGCATTTTCTTTTTGCGTGTTCTCTCGCTGACCAAGTATTGTGTGGCGGTAAGAGTGGTGTTTTCGGGATTGGGAAAACATACTTTACTAATATGCGAAAAATTGTTTTGCTTGGTATCCCATTAAGTACCATATAGCATCGCTTATGTGTATTCAAAGCAGCATTCTAGAAACTGCATCACAGTCCCCCTGTTTTATGGGCGAAGCTCCTTAAGGCGTGGGTGTGTAGCCACAATTTATTTAGTTCTTGCGGTGTTCACTAGATGGCGGTGCTTGTAGCTGATGATGAAAAGATGCAAGATGCTATAAACTAGACGGCAGTACTTGTAGTTGATGATGAAAGATGGGAAATGACGTAAAATAGGAATGATGTCACATATGGCGCGTGTGAAAGGGAATCGTTCGATTCAGTGCGGCAACGTACGCTAGGGGGAGCATTCTAATAAAATCGAGTGGGCAAAATGTACGGAGGATTCATGGTTTACCAGGTTTACCTCCGGAGCTTCGCATCATCATCATTCATTTCGTGGATATGGCGGCACTTTTTTTCATCTGATCCCTCGACTCCAACGAATATGCAACCTCCTCTTCCTAATTGTGAAGCTGCATTTGACAGTCTTGTTCTTTGCCATTTCACAGATGTGACGTCAGACGTGTACAGGAGCCCACATTTCCCACATCTTACTATAAAGGTAAACGGGTACACCTTCTTTTATCTCACAGTCATTAGCCTAGCCTCAAATTGGTCATTAATGTTCCTTACCTTGCGTTATCTGCTCAGACGTATTTTCTCATCTTTAATGGTTAATTAGTGACTGCATATATACACAGCATAAAAGAGCTCGGTGGGGCTACTTTGTTAGTGTTACCTGGATGACCATATAAATCTGCGTCTATTTCCTTCAGGTACATGTTGTGACGGACTCTGTGCACATGTGTAAAATCTGCACAACATAATTTCAAGGCAGTAGACGGTGTTACATTACAGGAATGGAATGAGGTAAAATGTTGTTTTGCGCAAGTTACAGCGAAAAATACAGTCAAGTCCCTTTATAAGACTCACTGATGTAAGAGGCGAATGGGTATAAAGGCACCAGCATGCCTGCACTGAAATAAGTGTTCATGAGAAAATGTATATGTCGTACCCTTGTTATAGTAGACACATCATATTAAAGGCAAGAGTTACTATACGTTGCACGTCTCTTACAAAGGGGTTTAACTGTAATCAAATTTAGCATGTAATAAGTATTTCTTTATTTGCAGTCAGTCGTGTTCTATTTTTTGCATTAAGAAAAAGAGTCAAATCTTGGCTTAGATTGCATGCACAATTTATTTTTGGTTGTATTCATTTCGAGCAAAGTAAACAAGTTTTCGTCGAGCAACCTGTCAAGTACTGCAGTGCCATCACTAAGCGATTGGCTCCAGTCAGCTAAGCACAATAACATCAAGTCAAGACTGTGCAATGGTTCAATTTACCTTAAGTGCAGAGCACCTTGCTTTTTCATCATGGATATTGGCCCAAACAACTGGCAAAAGCAAGGCGTGTTCACACATGTGGACATTACACTTCAAGGAAATACAATCGCTCACAACGCTATAAATCTGCAAAAGCTTCACACGTGATACCACCACTGGTGCGGCCACAATACCGCCATATCGATAGACGAGCATTCCAAACAAGCTTCGGCTAGATTCAGTCGGCAGTGCAACCCTCACTTGCTCCATCCAGAGCAGTGATGTCACTTGGCCTTCGGAAGAGATTCCGAAATACTGTACCAGCCTTATCTCACAAGGTGGGGCGAGACTTCCCCTTTGGTCAAAAAACTAAGTTTCAGAATTCTGCTGAAATTCTGCTGAATTCTGCTGAATTCAGCTGATGGGAAATTTCTTTACCTTTCCGAAAATATATTTCACTTGGGCATTCAGGTTTCGAAAATAATTTTTGGCTCTCTTTTTTCGGCATGCTAACAGGAAATGCACGTGTACATTACATAATTTACGCATTTTTCTAAAGAAAAAACATTTTTGGAGTTTGTGTACCTTTCTCTCGGGAACTATCGGGCTCAATCACTCAAAGATTCTCAAATGTGTTGATTTGTGGAATTCACATGACTGGAACTGGAATCAGTAGCCACCTAGGTGGACTTGTATTTTTTTAGCACAAAAAGACATTCATGAGTAGCCACTTTCATCCATCGACAAATGTAAAATTGAGGTAATAAATTCATTTTTTGTTTAGTTCCATGACTGTAAAGTGTTACTGTCAGTTCCATGTCTGTAAAGTGTTACGTGCGAAATCGCAATGCCCTGCATATAGCAAATCTCAACAAAAAGTACATATTGTGAGCATAATATGAGAAAAACAAAAGAAACAAAAATAAAGAACACTTAACACAATTTGAAACTGATTTTGAGCAAATAAGGAACAGTTGATATTATTTGAAACTAATTTTGAGCTCCAATGCGACCTGCGTCTACCTTTATGATGCCTTGTAAATATTATAGCCGTAGCTCTCATTAAGTTTCATTTCATTTCCTTAAAGACCACACTTGGGGGTGTTACATAAGGGGTGGATATATATACAAATTGTATAAACAACCACATATGTTAATTGCACGGCATGTGATAGGTTATACTTTGCAGGAATAAAGTCGGGCAGGTAGGAGATCGAAGAATAAGAGGAAGAAGTTTGGGGTACTTAAGGGGCCTGGGCTGCCATATGCTGTCAAACGCTGTCATTGTATGCTGTTGTAGCTTAGTGTACCGTAGTGAAAACCGCAAACAGCTTAGCGGCGTGTAGAATATTGAGCGTAGCAAGGGAAACTCTTCTTCCTCTTATTCTTTGATCTCCTCGATGATGATGAGTGCGAAGAACTTAATGAAACTTAATGGGTGATCTGTCCTATGCTGTCGTCGCTTGACGTGACGAAGGTAAAGTGTTGCTTAAAAATAGAAAAAAAAAGAATGTGAGAAATAGAAAGCGAGAGGAAGAAGTGTAAAAAGTGAAAAAAATAGATAGGAAGAAATATAAATAAAAAGACAGAAAAAAGAAAAAGAAAGAGAGGAGCAAAAAAAGGTAGTTGAGAGCATAGGCGTAGAGTTTTCATATTCCCGGAGGGCGCGGGGCACCTGATTTGCTCTTTCACATTTCTCTCTCTCTCTCCGTATCTGTGTGTGTATGTGTGTGTATATATATATATATATATAATGTCAACCTGTCACTTCATTCTCAATGTGACCATGGCGGCGCACTTCCTACTTGTCAGTGCCCTATTATCCGAATTTCAAAAGCCTAAACAGTCCGTTACCAATGAATGACAGTCTAAGCCAAGTTCTTTAAAGATATCCTGCGGACCAGCGCTGCAGCCCGGAGGGGGCCTGAGCCCTCCAGCCCCCCGTACTCTCTGGCTATGGTTGAGAGAAGAGCATTGATGAATGAACAGACTTCTTAAGCTTGTGTTGAACAATCTGCTGTGAGGTTTTGAACGATAATTGATAAGCTGTTCTCCCTAAATGCGGCCTACCTCTGTACACTATTCGCTAGTTGAAGAATGAATTTTTTAAATAAGTGAGTGAATTATTAATTGAGTGAATTAACAAGTGAAATAATAAGCGAGTGATTGAATAATAAGCGAGTGAGTGATTTCTTGCAGTAACTGCCTCGGGTAGCTGCAAATATGGCTGATAAAGGTGATAGTGGCTACACTGTAAGTGCTCAAGTCAAATTACATTGATATGACCTTAACTGTAGACACTAGAAACAAAAATGCAGTCGAAAATACACTGACGTAGGAGACAGTTGGGTATAAGGGACACCAGTGTGGCTGTACTGAAACAGGGGTTCATAGGTAAATGCATGCGTGGTACCCTGCTTGTACGAGGCACCTCTCAAGAGGGACAGGAATCGCCGCCCAGTGCATTTGCTCGTTTCACTTTGCGGATACTTCACATGCATCATCGGTTACTGACTTGACGACTGCTTTTGCAACGAGTCCTCGTACAGTTGTTCTTAAAAGGTCCCCCAACACTTTCTCGGGTAATCGTCATACGGCTTCACTGAAAGAGCCTATTGCCTCGTGAATCAACTGTCGCAAAAAAAAAAATAATTTTTTGAATCCGTAATGCACGAGTGAAGTTACAAGTATGTGTCACACACTTCAGGCGCTTTTTATGTCCTTTTGTACCAGTGGGCGTGCTGAAAGCTACGCAGTGAAAGGGATGACACTCCTTTCCCTTTATGCAGGGAGTGGGGCAATAAGATGCATTCCTTTGTCAGTTAGCAGTGACCACATCAACTATGCATGATGCAGCTTGCGATGCTCATGTCAGCCAGTGGTCGTGCACTTGGAGCCTATGGCATGGTCAGTTGGGCTTGTGGCATTGTTTTCGGAGAGAAGAGGGAACAGTTTCATGCAGACTCTGATTTCAGGCCACGTGCAGTGCTTTAATGTTTGGTTTGCAAGTTTTTTGGAGTATCGAGTACCAATTGGCAGCATTTTCTGACCATGCCTTTTAAAAAAGTGTAGCAGGGCCTCGTTAATACGAATACACCTGCCCCAATACCATTAATTTGGTAATGTCACCATTACCCAGTGCCGTATAATTAATTGATGGAAGTAATGGTACTGTGATTACACAACTCTTTTTTAATACGCATGCAGAAGGAGGAACCCACGTCATCACCAGAAGCTTCACCAAGCAGATCACCAGCCTTCAAAGATCGAGATGCTGGTGATCATGCAGCAGAGGCTGCCCTCCCAACACCGAAAGAGAGCACATCACCACCACCACCACGAGGTATTGTACTTCTTTACGAGACGTACATGCGCAGATACCTTTTCTGCCAGAAACCTCTTTTCACTTTGTCAACGTGTGACTGTTCCCGGGAACACCTCATGCCGCGTGCCAAGGGCTTGTGTCTTTTAGGTTGCATCAAATATCGCTGCGCTTTGAACTGCTTTGAGCCGGTACTGAAGAAAAATTAAGCAGGCAGCAAACGAGCTAATGGTATCGTGGTCTGTGCTCAAACGCCACATTTACTTCTGCTACAGTCTTCATGATATACGAGCGCTTTTGAGTATTGCTTCTTAAGTGCTGTGTTTTGCATTACTACAGTAAACATGCAGTTGGACATGGTTATAACAACTTGGAGCTCAGTTTTAGATCTCACGGTTCTGAAAGTTAGTTCGCTACATCTTGTATCTCTATATGTTCAATGTCGCCTCAACTCAGAACTTTTGTTAAGCCTTCAATATAACTGAATTTGTTATCCAGGCAGGGATAGAAAGCCAGAAAGTAATCAATTTGCAGAAAATGAAACAGCACGTAGATATCAATAATTTTTATGTGTGGTATTCTGTAATGTGTTCCGGAGCATCACCCAGAATAGCCTTCTCCATCCACCAGATTGCAAGGGCCTGCCATGGTGACAAAATTTCGCTTTACCGCTTCGTTCGTTACAATCGAGCAGAGGTACGGGGATTGATACTCCACACCTCCACCAAAGATGCTACTTGGAATAAAGTATATGCGAAAACATATTAGCGAGCAAATGCGTACAACGCTGCTGCAGTCCACGCGCATTACACTCAGCACTTCGTCGTCGTCATTCTCAGGTGTCTGCTCAGCCCGTGACAATATAATTACACTAAAGCAATGTTGCCAATTATTCCAGGGTGGTAATTGTATAGCTCCTTTTGTCAGCAGCCTACAGATCACATCTAAGGGGTGATGTGTGCGCCATAGGGGCTGTTAGTGTTGTAATCGTTGGTCTATGCCACTGCAACCACCAAGAGCTTCGTACGTGCCGTCATCTGAAAGTATATTCCGAAAAGGTATGCATTTCAGGTTGCAATGTTATCACGTCCCCATTTCCAAGAGTGGTGTTAAAAGCAGCATCGTTATTTTTGTCTTTAGCTGAACAGCTGTTTTTGTGAGCTATGCCAGAAACTTTTATATTCTAAATAAAACGCTTCTGGGATGCTCTTCTATACCTAGCACTTCCTGATATGAGGATTTCTTGTGCTTTCAAAAACGTCACTGCATTAGGAATGTCAGCACAGTGCAAATCTAGCATAGAGTCCAACCTCGACATAACGAATATGTACCGTATTTACTCGATTCTACCGCGCCCTCGATTGTAACGCGCACCCGATTTCCACCGCGAAAAAAAAAAACGTAAGACATCGATTGCAACGCGAACCCATTTTTTTTTGCTGGCCCGCACGATCACACCACTCGAAAAAACGATTCCTTTCGGGATTGTCTTCCATTTAAATATGAGGTACGGGCGAAGCTTGTGCCCATCTGACGTGTAACAGAGCATTGCCGTCACTGTAGTTTTACCGTGGACCGATGTCAGCACGCGAACTTGCTTCGCCCCCTTCTTCTCGACAGTTGTGGTGCCAGGCATGTCGAAGTAAAGAGGCGTCTGATCGGCATTCCAGATTTGCCCAAGCAGGTAGCCGTTGTTGCGCCGCAAGTTTATGACGAACCTCTGAAAACTGTAAAGCTTTTCATCGTACTTCTCTGCAAAAGTTTTCGCATATGCATGTTCCCCTTCGGAGGGAAGAGCCTTTCCTCTTCATATAGTTAATTAGCCAGCACCTGCTCGCTTTAAACAGGCTCCGCATTAGACTTTTTTTAAGACTAATTGCATAGCCCGCACTTGGAGCAGTTCTGTCGTCACGGGCCGCTGTGCCGCTCGCTCCTCAAGCACATACTCGCGGAGCAGCTCTTCAATTTGCGGAAACCGACCCTGCTGTGGTTCACTGAAGCCTTTGCGTGAAGCTTTGCTGTCGACAATCTTCTGCTTTTGTTTCCGCCGGTCCCGCACGCACGTTTCGAGAAGGACCGCGATGCGGCCCGATTTCCGTCCGTTTCTGCACACGCGATGACTTTTCTTTTAAAAGCGGCATCGTGGTGCACTCGAGTTTTTGGAGTCGGGCCTTCCACCTCGTCGATGCTAATGCACTACTAGGTGACGAACTCCTCAGCACACGTACGAAGTGCCGCACATGGTAAACACATAGGCAGAAATAGCCGACGCACCATGCCGACGCACGTAGGGGGCGGCCATTTTGGATTTGCGATGGCAATAGATTGACCGTAATTTTTTTGTTCGTACTCGATTCTAGCGCGCATGCGATTTATGAACTCGCTTAACCGGAAAAAAGGTGCGCGTTAGATTCGAGTAATTACGGTATGTAATCAAGGATTCATTATAAAAAGTAATTTAGAAAACAGCCATTCAAACCACACAGTGTTGCAAATTAACATCTATAAGAAATTTTAATATATAGTAAAACTGCTTTCATGTCAGCTATGACATTGTTGCAACGTGGCTTCACTGCATCCACCACAGGATTCGTCCACAAGCGGAAGAGGCAGAGTGACATTTGACCTCATAGTAACCTCAACGAAAAGAAACAGATAATGACACCTAGGGAAGTATAGGGGACATCAATTGTACTGTTTTAAGTGTATAGTACCAATTACAATATAAATGTGAAGACGCTAAGGTGGGCAAAAAGACAACCTGCCGCCAGCAGGGACTGAACTTGCAACATTTAGGGCATGTGGATGATGCTTTATTAATTGAGCTACAGCAACGGTTACCGTTGTTGCACCAGGTGGCAGAGCCAGGTCAGGAACAAACGCAACACTGAGGATACTTCTGGCTCAAATTGAATTAGGACACATAACAAAAAAGAACTAGATGGGCGCCGAACTTCCAGCTAATCCTATTCCACAGTGGAAAGAAGATTTTATGGCACAAGCAAAGCACGTGATAATATGCACGCACATGACGGTTTTTTTTAACAATCAAACAACCGCAAGGAGCTGAAAAAAAACCATTCTCATAATCTTGAAGAGGTAATGAAGCCATGCTGATGCAAGTGTCGCCCTCTGCCTTATGTAATATGCCTCCGTTACTTCTCTCTATGTCTTTTCTTTTTCTCTGCCTATAAACTCTGCTTCAGTAGCATCCGTACACCTTGCAGTGCGTTGCCATCAAGCTTGCCGAAACCATTTCTTACATTGAAACCGTGTTGTCTGGTACTTTGATACACTGCCTAGTTTCGCTTTATATTCCTTCCCACAACTCAATGGAACGCGTGAATGCATGTTGGCACTGCTTTCAATATCACTTCTCTTTTTCCTTTCAACTTCCGTCTTTGAACGGGTCTTCGTCATCAGGTAAACCTGCGAAAGGTTGGTGGACTTCAGCCTCTTCAGCTGGAAGAGATGTAGGGGGCATTGTCAGGAATACGGGAATGGCATCCTTTGGTACTGCAGTTGACGGGCTTCACCCTTTCGGGGTCAATGATGTACTTGAACATCCTCCTTGAGCACCTCCAAGATGGTCAGGTGTTTGCGTACAAGTCGCTGCCTCTACGTGTAAAATATGTGGCTAACTCAAGAGCCGACTCGTACTCGAGAACTCGAACAGACATTTATTAGCGGCCATGTGAGCCCAGAACATAAAGCTGTCTTCCTTTTCTCTTCCTTCGAATAGCTCACACGCTCCCTGGCGTGCTGGCGCAAAGTTCGTCTTTTCTTCTCTCAGGCTGAACGCGGGAAATTTAACATATCTTTAATGAAAGCGTCTTTTTCTATCATTTTCTCTCGCTTGGCGTGTGCTGCCATACCCAGTGAGTGTGTGAAACTTTTTTCATAGGCCAGTGTCTCGCCATTACTTTTTTTAAATAACTTTTTTGCTACAGTAGTGCACTAGGTATCGCTTGTGCGTCTGCTCAAGCCCACTCTGGGCAGCTAGTTCTGTTTTTGTCCTTCGGGTGGTACTGCTTATTGCGCCCGCACAACTGATGGCTGTCTGGTTTTTCACCTCTCAAAAGATGACCACTTGTTATTCTCTCGTTTATTGCTCGCCAAGGTCCAATTACATCTGTTTCCGTGCGGGTGCTCAATTACATAAATGATGCCGCCTTTGTGGTTTTCTGTTTTAAGAACTCTCAAAAAACTTATGGCCTCTCATTGGCAAAAATACGAAGGATTGCTATAGGTTTTCCCCTCGTTTTGCTTTTCAGACGGCCCCACAACCACGCAGTTTTCTGCAATGCACTCATCCATGCGGTTTGCTTACACTACGAAAGTGCGCACCATTTGCTCTGCTGCAAGTGAGTCGAGCAGCGATTCCTCCCATGCGGACTCTTACCCAACTGTTCAGTCACATGATTCGGATGTCAGCCCTTCAGAGGAGGATTTACTATCGAGTTCAGGTTCAGACGATGAAGGAGCAACACCTCAAAAGCGTGCACGGCGAGAAGATTCTGACTGGATCAAGGGTGACTACTCTCCGTCCGTGTTTCCCTTTGATGCCATTAATTCAGGGCTAGTGGATTCCTTAACACTGCCACCACACACGAGAGAAGTGGAGTACTTCAAGCTTTTTTTTGACGAAGAGCTCGTCTCGGAGATTGTAGCGGCAACGAACGAGTACGCCAATAAAGTTGGCAAGCCTGGCCCGCTCCAAAGGTCACGCCCACGCTTGTGGCAGGATACAAATGTTTCAGAACTGTACTGCTTTCTAGCAGTCGTATTCTTGATGGGCCTGGTCCAGAAAAATACCATCAGAGACTACTGGTCCACGGATACCATGTTAGAAACTCCTTTCTTCCACTCAATGTTTTCAGTCAAACGCTTTTGCCTACTCCTGCGGGTGCTGCATTTCAGTTCCCTCACTAATGCAAAGGACCGCCTAAGAAGCATCAGACCGACCATGGAAAAAATAAAAGAAAGATTTGCCGCCTTTTTTGTACCTTTTAAAAACCTCA